TACACACAAACAAACACACACACACACACACAAACACACACAAACGTATAAACACATACGCAGAAATATACACACAAACAAACACACACACAAACAAACAAACACTCACACAAACAAACACACACAATCATACATATACACAAACATACACACAAACAAACACACACACACAAACACACACACAAACAAACATTCACAAACACAAACATACACACACACACAAACAAACACACACACAAACGTATAAACACATACACACACAAACACACACATAAACACACACACAAACATACTCACACAAACATACACACACACACACATACAAACACACACAAACATACACACACACAAACGTATAAACACATGCACACACGCACAAACATACACACACAAAATACACACACAAACATACACACATACAAACACACACACACACACACACACACACACACACACACACACACACACACACACACACACAATCAACTCGCTATTGCTCAGATGGAAAATTTCAAAATGAACCTGGCCTCGACGCGTACGTTATATGTTCAAATCCCAGTCTGTTGGAATGTCTTTGGTCCTCTTGAAAATTTTGTCTTTTTTGTTTTAGTTTAGGTTTTACGGCGCTCACAATTGCATAGGTCATCTGAGCGCCATGGGGTGGATGTCAACAAATAAGTCCTTACAGGGAATCAGACTCACTCTGCTCACCTCTCTAGCTTCAACGCCAAAGTCTGCTTCGACTATCAAGGCACCCCGGAAATATCGGGTCACAAGAGGGTGACAAACATACAAAAGAATTAGAGGAGAAATGGCGATAGTAAGCACTTGGAAAGAAAAAGCAGCAGTTCCCTGTTGCAGTTCAGGCACAGTTATGAGCATGGCATTGATGAATCAGCCCATTTACAATTATAACTTTACCGTGCATAAGAACTCGAGATATCAATGCCCCCCCCCCCCTTTGGGAATGGCCTAAAGACACCTCAGTCAGTATCCCCGTCCCGGGGGGGGGGGGGGGGGGGGGGGGGGGGGGTTAGATTTCGTCTGAGCCGCGTGTCCTTGCGGGGGATCGTGTCCGCAGCTTTTGAAACTCGAGTGTCTAGTAGGGCCGTTATTTCACCGCAAACACAAAATTAGTTTTAGTTTTAGTCGTAAGAGTTCGCAAACACAAAATTAGTTTTAGCAGCAGTATCGGTGTTGAAGATTAGCACTTGAAACACAATAGGCAGCAGTATCGGTGTTGAAGATTAGGGGTGTTACTTGAGAGTAACATACAGAGAAAAGAAGGAGGAGAGATAAGGACGATGGATGATAGATAGGAAAGAAGGAGCAAGCCACAGCACAGCACCCGCCAACCACCCTCAAAGTCAAAAGAGAAAGCGGAAATAGAAAAGGGCCAAAAAGAAAGCCCGTGTCAGAGACAGGGAAAGGGGAACAAGGACATGGAGTCTGTTCACTCCACACTCTGTGAATCAGGAATCAGGGAGCCAATGGGTTGGGCCCAAAGTGCAGTCAAAAGATCGTGGTGCAACTTATCCTCAAATATCTCTTAAACGGGTAAATCAATGGCATCTCTACTTTGCATAGCAGTTTGTATCAATTTGTCGTAACTAAATTATATTTTTCTGGAACAATTGGGGCTAGATTAAAAAATTTTTTTTCATAAATTTATATAAAATACTTGAAATCTCTGTCATGTGTAAAATGGTATTGTTCACAGCACTTCCCGCTTTTCACACACATTTTGATTACGCATATGGCCTACGTCACAGCTCATCAAAGACAATTTTTACTTACAAAACTTGTTATAAGAAATTTTAGTTATAGTGAACACATTTTTTGCACTAATGGCTTTCAAAACATGCGTTCAATAAGCACAATGTCCCGATTAGAAAAACCTGACGGACTTGCTATTAAAAGCTATTTGCCCCAGCTGTAAACATTTACAAATCTGTAGAAACCACCCACTTGGATTTTTTATTAGTATATATTAAGGAATTTTCTAGAATACAGCTTGCAGGCGTTTACAAAAATGTTGATCTGTTAAGACAAATTGATACAAGTCACTGAGCAAAAATTGGAGAATGTATGTTCGATAGTTGAAATATTTGTAAATAAGTCGAACCACGAATTGTTGACACCACTATAAAAGGTGGCAACGCTGAATGCCCCCCTCCCTCCCCCCCCCCCCACCCTTCCTTCCAACAATATCATTATCATCAACAACATCCACAACAACAATCACCAACACCATCATTACCACCACCACATCAATAACAACAATCATCATCATCTACAGTAACAACAACAACAACAACAACAACAACAACAACAACAACAACAACAACTGTTGCCCCTCCCCAGCCCGTCGTGACCTAAAAAGGGAACAGTCATCTTGAACAATTCTGTAACTCAGCAATGTGGCCAGCCAACGGCGAAAGCCGCCAATGTAATCTTCCTTCACTGTATTGGACATGTTTTAATGTATTCAATACCTGGTGGCTATCGTTACGTTAGCGGATATGGCTTCATACACTACTACCCCCTGATTGTAGCAACGTTTCTCTACTACTAATTGAGAATCTTTGATTGCATGTCATGATCCAAAAATAGACCAGACTTTTACATAGATATTTAAAAAATACTGTATGCTATTTTTGAGTCATATATATATTTTTTGAAACATGAAGCAATAACAATAATCAGTACCTTGTAATGAGACAGTGAAAACAATAATTAAAGGCAACAGAAATGTGATTTCTTAGGAGACTTGAGAATTTCATGGAAGGACAAGAAATCAAATGAGGCAAAGCTGAAAGAAGCTCACGTGGTCGATGCAGTAATATGAACAAATAAGACGAGACAAATGCGGTTTCTGGGACACTTGAATCCACCAAAAGACTAAGAACATCTCGCTCTCACTCTCACATAAAAAATAGAAGGCACAAAGGTAGGGGAAGACCAAGGGCAACTTATTCAGAGAACTTGAACAGTGGGTGGTGGGGAAATATAGAATCTGGCACTTGATGATGATGATCTTGTCATTTTCGTACACAGCTAACACTCTGTTCTACATGTATTTACCTAGTGCAAACAAAGGGGCAAAAGAGATCTTCTAGTTTTAGTAAGGTTTTACGGCGCTCGCAACTGCATAAGGTCATAAGAGCGCCAAGAGGTGGATGTCAACAGAGAAGTCCAAACCACCAAAGCTTGAGAGTCATTGAAAACTGAAAATTTATATTTTTGTGCCTTTAATCAATGTTTTTCAGTAAAATCCACACAGAATTGTGTTTTTTTATGGACATAAAAGATGTTGAGCCAAAACAAGAAATTAAGAAAAAAATTGCTAATCGGCATTTGATGAGCCCCTGATTTCACCATGATGCCTCACATATGTCGATTTCATTTGTAGAACTAAATCTATTTATTAGCTAAATATCAACTTCGTTCATCCTGCATTGGAACTGAACACTCAAGTATTAACACTTTCACCACTTCACTACATACCATTCAAAGGCACAACTCAACAGACGGTGACCTGACTAACTATGCCACGTTCAATTTGCTCAAGTTCACGGTCACAGAGTCGGGGCTAGACTTAAAATAATGGCAAGACAATGAACCAATCACAGTTCACTTGATCACTCCACTAGACAGTACCATGGACTCACAAATTAAGGGCATAGAATTGTGTACAGTCTGAGATTGCCTTTATTTTTAGACTGCCAACTGTGGGCTATGTTTGGGCAAGCGCACATTTGAGATGAGCTGTCTTATCAATATTTATTTACTGTCAAACTCGCTACAAGTGTCGTCATCGCGTGTGTTAGCCCAAAGAGCGATTTATAGGTCAATTACCACTGCTGAACATCCTATTATGTTAAGTTAACTCCTTATTTCCGGCTAGCCGCTCCCAGCAGCTCGTGGTCGGAATCCCTGTGCCGGCGAGCCACGCACATTCTTTTACAGCGACTTCGACATCAAATTACTTTTTGGCAATTGCGGAAAACAAGTCTCTTTTACCGGAATTGTGTTCATTAGAAGAAGAACTATCGAAATATGTTCACTTTAATGACCAAAATAGTGATGTAAATGTCAATCTTAGATTCTGAACCAAAATAGGGCCCTGGCATAGTGGGTCTACAACCCTCAGAGATGAAGAGTTAAAGCGCATGTACTTTGGCCTGGCATAGTAGATGTTTTCACGGCGCTTTAGGGACATAAATGGCTGTTAAGACTCCAGGGAGGACCTTGTATTGATAAAAGATTTGGCTAGTGCTTGCGGCTGACTTCTTTTATTTTCCATTTGTGGCTGCTTTACACAAAAGAACATGAAAAAATTTTGGGCAGCAGTGCATGTCCGCGCTCTATGGACAGACCACGCCTGGTCAAGACGTATTTTATATAGAAAAGGTCTGGTTCATTTTAGGGTCCCGACGTACCAGTTGCTAGTAAATATCGACACACCGGGAAGGTTAATTAAGAGGCAGGAGCCCCGACCTAACGCCCATCTCTGATAGAACCTGACAAAGTGGGAGAAGAGCCTTCAGGCGATTACAACAACAACAACAATGAGAACATCGATAACAACAACAACAACGAAAACATCGACGACGACAAAGACAACAACAACAACAACAACAACAACAACAGCGCACAGTGCTGCCACATGTTTGGACAGTGCGTTGTATCAAGCAGAAAACACTTACCTGATTTGTCAGCTGGTGAACCTTTTCTAAGCCAAACCAGAAGTTGCCGTCCAGGTCGCCAAATCCGTTTTTATAATCGTCCCAGCCACGGAAAAAGTCCACGGCCGCTGAAGCCCGTCTCTGTAGACATGATAATAACAATAAATCGCATTTGTACAACGCAGATCCATGCTTGACAGCAAACTATATGCATTTTTCAATCTATATTATATTCGTTCGTTCACTTTCGTCTGACCGCGTTTAAAACGGGATAAAAACAAATCACTCTGTTTAACCTTTCAGGGTCTTTGCACGCGGGGTCTAAAAGTTAAACGACCAGCAGAATCTAAAAGCCCATTCCTAAAAGTCACTGCAAACTAAGGTTCCCACACGTTTTCTTTGATGCAAGACTAGAGCGGGTCCAAAAACTAGTAGGGGATTTACAGCATACTCCTAAAACATTTAAAATTAAAAGTTGACATATTTCCCTCAACACTACTCCTTAACGTTTGCCTAATAGGGGGTGCCCACATACGCGCTCGGGTCGGGTCGGGGTTTCAGTGCACACTACAGCCCCGTCGCGGTTGTACTCGACGACCTGGAAGTTAAGGGGGGGGGGGGGGGCTACACCCCCAAAATCAAAATTCGGCTCAAAATCATGGAATTTGAGTTGTAGGCATTTTTAGCTTCCTCAGCCTCTCCTACAACTATTTCATGGCATAAGAACCCCCCAAAATCGTATTTTTTCCCAAATCGGGCATGTTTGTAACCGCCATTTCCTCATAAAGTCAGTATTTTATTTTTCTTTATCGGCCGTTTTCTCAAAATGCTACTTTTGTCTATACTTTTTTGAATAACTCCACCATTTTTCCTCCAATCTTCATGAAATTTTCACAGAATGAAGAGAAGAGGTAATGCTAAAAATTTGTCAGTTGAATTTTTGATATATAGAATAGATTTTTGTTGGTGGTGTCTGGAGTGTGGATTTTCACGAATTTTTCGCAAACTTGAATACTACCTGAGGAAAAAATTCATTAAAAATGTTCTAATTCGTTTAGGAAAAAAACAACACACAATTTATTAGATCTAATGTTTGTAAACACGCATGCAAAAAACCAATCAATTTCCACTAGTGATAAGTGCGGTATTCATTACGTAAGACATGTCAATAAAATCCAATATGGCGGCGTATCCATGGAAACGAAACTTTTTTCTAAAATTTGATTGCGGATTTCAAGACTCCTTACTATGCTTGTTATATGTGTGAAATTTGGTAAAATTCGGTAAAGTAATAAGCGAAATAGCCTCCAGGTGTAGCCCCCCCCCCCCTTAAAGTAGAGAAACCTTTGACCTACATGCGACTACACAGAGGGCGTAAACCCGGGCTACGATTGGCTGGACTTTTGACCCACGAATACATGATATATGCCTACCGTACTCTTGGACTCTGTGTGTGTATGTGTGTGTGTGTGTGTGTGTGTGTGTGTGTGTGTGTGTGTGTGTGTGTGTGTGTGTGTGTGTGTGTGTGTGTGTGTGTGTGTGTGTGTGTGTTCGTGAGTACTTGCTTGCTAACTTGCTTTAGTCTACGCGTCCACCAAAATAAGATCATTTCCAGGCCAGGCTAAGGTACGAAGTTTACGCATGGTGTAGAGGCGACTCAAAAAGATCCGCGTCCACCGACATCAGACCAGCGAAACCTATTTTTAGCCCAGTGTGTTATGATTACGAGAACAACAGACAGCACTGGCGATTTATTTACCACTTTAAAAAACTAAAAAGCAACAAATTCTAATTATATGGGAAAATTGTTGGTAAGTTGGGAGGATGGGAAGAAGGGGGGAAAAAAAGAAAAAAAAATAAGGTTGAGACTGGGCTTCGAACCTACGCTCACAAAAAATATTTTTCATTTCAAACGCAGACACACTGTTCACTCGGCCATCAGAACTTTCGTCAGGGAAGGGTAGATTAAGCTTCATATTTACAGCACTGTTTCGGGAAAAGCAAAATAAATCGAGATGTAGATCTAGAATCTAGGCCTAGATCTAGTGGACGGGCCGATAAGGTCTGGAGAAAACAAAAAAATTGCGGAAAATTGGAAGCACTAAACATTAGATAGCGTAGTTCTAGATCTAGACACGTCCTTAGCTAGATTCTTGGTCTGACATGGCCTATTTTTAGCCCTCCTGAGAACGAAATAATCTAGATCTAGATCTAGGTCAAGTGCTTTGATTTCATTTTTCTGCTGTTTTTCAGCACAAATCTGCTATTGTACAACATATTATAATGAGATACAACTTTATTGATCATGTAAAGTGCAAGGAAGAAGCAGAAATGTACTTAAAGATGCAAATTTCCTTCCAAAATGAGTCGAATCGAGACCAGAGTACCTACTTATTACTTAATGTATTCATGGGTCAAAATGGACACGTGACTCAGCCTTGCTGTGATTGGCTGCAAACCACCCGATCGCACGATTCGCAGGCCAGAAAACAAACGCGTTTGTTTTTGTAGGTCACCGATCGCGTCGATCGGTTTGTGCCACGATGGCCGCTTTGCGCCCTCAATTTGGCTATCCCAGACTACCCGATGGGCCCGACCCGACCCGACCCAATCGCGTATGTGGGCACCCCCTATAAGAAACACGATTCAAGAGACGGGGTAAGTATTTTTCGAGACTCACGTGGTGCACGTGGAGACGTCTTGACAGCCGGGATGAAATCTTCAAACTTACACTGAAATGTGGGGGCAGGGCGGTGTCACTGTCTAAAAATGAGCAATTTGCAGGCAAGGCTACTGTAAGTAATCTATTTTAATGATCCTGTGTATGCATCCAAAAAGCGGTTTTTAATATAGGCCCCAAAAAGAAAAACTCCTACAAAAATATTTTTGTTTGGTCGCTGGCCTGCAGAAGTGCCATGCAAAGTGTCGTGGGCAATTCTTCAATGAACTAGAATTCTTTTTACGTGGTCAGACGAATGTAAACAAGCTATACCCAGGAAGACCATAAAACACCCAGAAACATTCTTAGCTTCCCAAGAAGTATACAGTGCAAGCAGCCCATTAAGCGCTCAAACACCAACACACTGACAAAATCTGTTGCTGTCAAAAGCAGGATACCCATTCCTGATAGTGTGAAGAGAGGGAAAATTGGTGTAAAGTGCCTTTTCCAAAAACACAACATCGGTTCCCTGGCAGGATTCGAACACACAACCTCACGGTTGCAAGTCCGAGAGCCTAACCACTTGGCCATCGATGCCACTGAACATTACATCTGTTAGTGAGGCCGTTGTCAGGAAGAACGAGAAATCATCATCATCAAAATTAGATGTAAGATCAGCGACAGACATCAGCGATCATGGTTTGCCATTCATTCCTTTGCTCGGATGCTCTAAAAAAAAGCGACATTATCCTGACCTTTCCCCGTCACCCGTCTATTTAAGCTCTTCAAGTAGGTTGCTCTGGGTCTGCCCTTGCCTTCACTTTTGCCAGTGAGAGCTGTAAGTTCAAGTCTTTATGTCAAATCAAGTGTCTCAGAAACTTTCACATTATGAAAAAAATCTTGCTGATTTACAGTTAATTCTAACTTCGAAATAAAGTCAAACGCAGTTATAAAGAGTGTTCATAGCAATACTACATATGAGAAGTTTTTGAAGATTTTCCAAGTGAAGAACATTTGATTCGCAACGAAGAGGAATCAGGCACTGGTCAATATTGGGGAATATGGAGTTATTAGAATTATTTTAAGAAGAGGAATCAGGCACTGGTCAATATTGGGGAATATGGAGTTATTAGAATTATTTTAAGAAGAGGAATCAGGCACTGGTCAATATTGGGGAATATGGAGTTATTCGAATTATTTTAAAGCTTGTTCATTTGCCATGCTTTTGATTTGTAAAAAAAAAAATACCAGTCTATCTTGAACTTGTGTCGAGATATTTGCGATTGAAGGAGGTGGTGTCAGAGGTAAACTTAGCGAGAAAATGGCCACGAAAGTCTGTTGACTTCCCAAGCTTCAGAGTCCTTGGAAACTGAGTTTTTATTTTTTTGGTACCTTTGATCACTGTTTTTCAAAACAATCAATAGAGAAATGTT